TGCTGCTTCTCCTTGGTTGTTGTCGCTGCTGCTGCTGCTGCTGTTGCTATCTGTGTCTTGCTGCTGCAGCAAACTGCGGGCCTTCGCTAGAGCCTGCGGGTTGATTTGCACCTGTCGCCCAGATGCAAAGGAAAAACCCGCAGCAGCAGAAGCTGCTGCTGCTGCTGCTGCTGCTGCTGCTGCTGCTTCTCCTTGGTTGTTGTCGCTGCTGCTGCTGCTGCTGTTGCTATCTGTGTCTTGCTGCTGCAGCAAACTGCGGGCCTTTGCTAGAGCCTGCGGGCTGATTTGCACCGGTCGCCCAGATGCAAAGGAAAAACCCGCAGCAGCAGAAGCTGCTGCTGCTGCTGCTGCTGCTGTTGCTGCTGCTGCTTCTCCTTGGTTGTTGTCGCTGCTGCTGCTGCTGTTGCTATCTGTGTCTTGCTGCTGCAGCAAACTGCGGGCCTTTGCTAGAGCCTGCGAGCTGATTTGCACCTGTCGGCCAGATGCAAAGGAAAAACCCGCAGCAGCAGGAGCTGCTGCTGCTGCTGCTGCTGCTTCTCCCTGGTTGTTGTTGCCGCTGCTGCAGCTATTGCTGCTGCTGCTGCTATCTGCGTCTGTGTCTTGCTGCTGCAGCAAACTGCGGGCCCTTGCTAGAGCCTGCGGGCTGATTTGCACCTGTCGTCCAGATGCAAAGGAAAAACCTACGGCAGCACGAGCTGCTGCTGCTGCTGCTGCTGCTTCCGCTTGGTTGCTGCTGCTGCTGCTGCTGTTGCTATTGTTGCTGCTGCTATCTGTGTCTTGCTGCTGCAGCAAACTTCGGGCCCTTGCTAGAGCCTGCGGGCTGATTTGCGCCTGTCGCCCGGATGCAAAGGAAAAACCCACAGCAGCTGTTGCTGCTGCTGCTGGACCCTGGTTGCTGCTGCCGCTATTGCTGCTGCTGCTGCTGTCTGTGTCTTGCTGCTGCAGCAAGTTGCGGGCTCTTGTTAAAGCCTGCGGGCTGATTTGCACCTGTCTTCCAGATGCAAACGAAAACCCCACACCAGGAGCTGCAGCTGCAGCTGTTGCTGCTGAGGCCATGTTGCTGCAGTGCGTGCCGTACGCAGTCGTGCTGCTGCTGCTGTTGCTGCTGCTGCTGCTGCTGTTGCTGCTGCTGCTGCTGCTGCTGTCTTTACTAAGTTGTAGCGGGGGGAGGCAACTGGTAAGCGCCTGGGGGTTTGAATCCGCTGCTGCTCCTGAAGCCAAGGGGAACCCTTTGAAAGGCCGCGATGCTCCTGCAGCTGCTGCTGCTGTTGCTGCTGCTGCTGTTGCTGCTGCTGCTGTTTCTGCTGCAGCTGCTGCCTCTGTTTCCTGCTGCACCTGCAAGAGGCTGTGGGTCTTGTGCAGCCCCTTATAACTGGCTGCCCCTGAAGTAAGAGCTCCACCTGCTGCTGCTGCAACTCCTGCCACTACAGGCCCGCTGCTGCTGCTGTTGCTGCTGCTGCTGCTGCTGCTGCTGCTGCTGTATTCTTGACGCACTCCAGCACTCACAGAGACCAGCGGAGTAAAAGCGCCTCCAGATTGCACTGCTGTAGATGCTGCTGCTGCTGCTGCTGCTGCTGCTGCGCCTGCTGCTGCTGTACCTGATGCTGCTGCTGCTGCTGCGTGCATTTGTCCCGGCATCAGCTGCAGCGGATGCACCGGCTGCTGCAGCAGCTGCTGCTGCTGCATGAAGGCCGACGGGTTTGCTGTTGCTGCTGCTAAGGGCTGCAACAGCTCCGGCGCTGCTGCGTCGTCCAGCCACAGCAGCAGCTCTTCCTGCTGCAGCTGCTCTGCTGCTGCAGACTCTGCGCAGCTGTCGTAAGCAGCAGCAGCAGCAGCAGCAGCAGCACACGGCTCACCAGCAGCACAGTCAATGTCTATGTCTTCGAAGCTCCATTCTGGCGAGCCATCGCTTGCTGCTGCTGCTGCTGCTGCACTTGCTGCTGTTGCTGCAGGCGCTTCTGCGGCGTAATTTATTGTTGTTGCTGCTGCCGTTGCTGCTGGCGAGGAGAGTCGCCGACGCTTGGGCAGCAGCTGCAGCGGCTGCTGCTGCTGCTGCTGCTGCTGCGGCTCCCAGTGGAACTGATGCCGCTGCTGCTGCTGCTGCAGCTGCTGCTGCTGCTGCTGAAGCGTCAGGTGCTGCTGCTGCAGCTGCTGCTGCCCCGTGTCCTCTGCGCCGTAAAGAATGTCGCATGCAGCAAGCAGCTCGTCCTGCTGAGAAGGAGAAGGGAGCAGTGGCTGCTGCTGCTGCCGCTGCTGTTGCTGCTGCTGCTGTTGCTGCTGCTGCTGCTGTTGCTGCTGCTGCTGTTGCTGCTGCTGCTGTTGGTGGTGGCGCTGTTGCTGCCGCTGCTGCTGCTGCTGCAGGTGCTGCTGCTGCTGCTGGTGCTGCTGCTGTTGGTAGAGATGCTGCTGCTTTTGCTGCTGCTGCTGCTGCCGATTCGGCTGAGGAGCCGCGTGGACCAAGTGATTTAAGTGCTGCTGCTGCTTCAGCTGCTGTTGCTGCTGCTGAACCTGGAAGTGCTGGTGCTGCTGAGGTTGCTGCAGCTGCTGTCGGTTTTGCTGCTGCTGCTGCTGCTGCTCCTTCTGCTGCTCGTTCCGCTGCAGCAGAGAGCCCTCCGGCAGCAGCTGGCGCTGCTGCTCTCTGCGGGCGGATAAGTATGGACTGGCAGCGTGCTGCTGCTGCTGCTGCTGCTGCTGTTGCTGCTGCTGCTGCTGCGGGGATGGCCGAGTTCCTGAGCGGCTAAGGGACATTTGGGCAGGAGCAGCCCGGTGCTGTTGCTGCTGCTGTTGCTGCTGCTGTCGCTGCTGCTGCTGCAGGGATTGCTGCGACATAGTTCTTTGCTGCGGCGGTGTGTATAATGCCTGCTGCCGTTGCTGTTGCTGCTGCTGCTGCTGCTGCTGCTGCTGCTTCTGGGGCCCTCCAGGCCTTGGGGGTGTCCTGCAGGGCTGTGGGCTGCTGTTGCTGCTGCTGCTGCTGCTGCACGCAGCAGCAGCAGCGGCAGCAGCAGCAGCGGCAACACTTGCAGTGTGCAGCTGCAGAGCATTCTGTGAGCCGTCAAATCCGAGCTGCTGCGCCTGCTGCTGTGGTAGCTGCTGCAGTGGTTGCTGCTGCTGCTGCTGCTGCTGCTGCTGCTGCTGCTGCTGCTGCTGCTGCTGCTGCTGCAGGCGGTGTATTGGCTGAGTCTTCACTGGGGTGATGGAGGCTGAAGAAGCCTCAGAGTCCCACGGCTGTGCCCAGCTGCTGCTGCCTTCTGCAGCAGCAGCAGCAGCAGCAACAGCAGCAGCAGCAACGCAGACGCCCCCCTTCCAGCAGCCAGCAAACGCGTCTCCCCATGTGCTGCCTTCTGCACATTCTGCTGCTGCTGCTGCTGCTGCTGCTGCTTCTGCTTCAGAGCCTGCAGCTGCAGCAGCAGCACAGCCGCCGGCTCCTGCTGCGGGGTAATCAGCAGCAGCAGCAGCAGCAGCAGCAGCAGCAGCATCGCCGCTCTCAGGAGCCGTAGCCGGTTCTGCCGCCGCTGCAGCGCCTGCTGCTGTGCTTGCTGCTGCTGCTGCTGCTGTTGCTGCTGCTGCTGCTCTTCCTGGCTGCGTTTGCTGCAGCTCGAAGACCTTAATGAGGCCTTCTTCTGCTTCTATAAGGCCGTCAATGGCTTCAAAGAAGGAGTCATTTTCCACAGAGAGCCCAGCAGCAGCAGCAGCAGCAGCTGCTGCTGCTGCTGCTGCTGCACCTGCTGCCGTCAACTGGGTCTCTGCATCGGGGTCTACAGAGTCCCAAGCCAGGATGTCGTCGGTTAAACTGCTGCTGCTGCTGCTGCTGCTGCTGCTGCTGCTGCTGTTGCTGCTGCTGATGCCGTCAGTGGCGCTGCGAGCTGTGCCTAGTGCAGCGGCGCTCTTGCTGCTGCTGCTGCTGCTGCTGCTGCATGGTGGGGGCAGCAAGGGCTGGGTTTCTGCTGCTGCTTCTTCGTCTGAGGAGGACTCGACTGCCCAGGCCAGGCGCAGAGCCCGCTCGCTCATCTGCTGCTGCTGCTGCTGCTGCTCCTAGCAGCAGTAGCAGCAGCGACAGCAGCAGGGGCTGCTGCAGCAGCCGCCAGCGCTGCAGCAGCAGCTGCAGCAGCAGCAGCCACAGGCTGTCTTGGGGCCCCCAGCGCAGCAAAGCCGCGAAGGGGGCCCCCAGGGCTGGGGGGCCCCCAGCTCTTGAACCCGTGGGGGCCCCTAAGGGTACTTGGGGGGCCCCTAGGGG